AAAAAAAAAAAGAAATATTTAATTATGAACAGAGCTAATAACTTATTGATAAATACTCACGACTACCACAATTTTTTGAAATGTAATGAAATGAAATGTTCGATGTCCGACTGCGTATGGTTCTGAATGCTCTGATATACCACGTCGAATCGATCTCGGAACAATAACACGTCGAATTTCCTCTTCGACACCTTAACTGCTCCGGAACGATGTTCTACGCCCCGAAACTGCTAGCGCGCGGACCAATAACTAGTTTTAATTATTGGGTTTCGCTTCGGTGATTAGATTACGTAAATATATCGTAATATTTTGATGCTCTGTCGTTACGGCGGCGCTATCGTGTTTATAAACAACGACGGCGGCGCGCGGCGGCTCTGATAAGCGTATTATCGTAGCAGCTGTGTTGTTGTCAGTTTTCAAACGTCGGCGGCGACTACACTGATGTCACAACTACGACGGCGGTGGCAGCACGTACTCCAGGGTCACTCGCACGGCGGTTGGCGTAATTTGAAAACGTGTCATGGTCGGCTCATTTAACCAGCCCCCTCCACTATCGCAATATATGCATCAATATTATTATCATTAACCTTATCAACTGTTAGCAAACCGTGTTCAGTAGATTGATAATAATTTGGAAACGATTTTTTTCAGTTTTTTCATCTAACCTAACCTTTCTTAATAATTGTTTTATTTTGTTTAGACGTTTTTTTAGCATGGGCAAGTTTTTAAAATATTTTTTATTTATTTTGTTTATTTTGATTGTACACACAATATATAATAATATGTACTAATATATTATATATTTTGTTTTCTTTTTTAGATTCTAGCAGTAATGGAAATGTATGTACACTTCACATTTTTATTTTTTTTTAAATTATGTTGTTATTCTTTTATTATCCTTTATATGTAATATAAATTATTGTATAATGTACCAAATATTGTTTCATGTATTATTATAATTTTGGGCTCTTGTCTGTGTTTAAAAAAAAATAAAATTTATAATAATATATGTAATGTCTATAATAATTGTTTTATGATTTTTAAAAGTTTTGTTTTGCTTCCCTATATTTCCTTTTATTGTCATTTAATTATTTATATATATATATATGTTTATGTAATTTGAATGTACATTTATGTTTTTTGAAATTTATTGTTATATGAATGTTTTTAATAAAAATTAAAAATATGTTTGAACATTTATTGTTTTTTATGTTTACCTATATTATGTTATAATAGAATAGATTAATAAAGTAATACAGACACGTATTAGTAAAATTAATAAACAAGTTTTAATACTGTGAATAATAAATAGATAGTAATAAACAAATAGTAGGTACCTACATGGCTACATAAACAACATATTAAATTACAATATAATAATAATAATAAAGTTTATACAATGCATATTAAAAAAAATATATTTACAAATTTACAATATTATGTCAGTGACAAAAACAATGTGAATAACAATACATAGGTACTATAATAATAGTAAATTAAAAATTCCAAACATCAAAAATACATTGCTTATTAGTTATTAAGATTGTTTTGTGAGTTTTCATGTTTTGTATTAGATTGGGCTACTTTATATTCAATAATATTATAACTTTGATGAGTAAGTAAATTGATTTCTTTTATAGAAGTTTGTTTGTGACGAATGCCAACAGACATTTAAACATAACTCCTCTTTAAAAAGACACATGATAAAAAAACATAATATTATAAGCAAAGAGGTACAACAGGATTTTAAATGCACTAAATGTGAAAAGGCATTTACTCAAAAGAAAAATATGTTAAGGCATTTAAAAACACATCCACAAATGTATGATGATGACCATGTTGATAATCCTTCAGAAGTAATTTTTATGGTTATTTTTATAAATAATTTTTAATTTAATAATGAGTGTATTTAAATGCATTTATAGAGTGGGCCACAAGAGAAAGTTAGGGAGGATGATTCTAAACAAAGTGGACAAATCAATGGGGACCTTCAAGTAATAATTATTATTACACATCATACCCCATACACACATATATAATTTAAGTATTAACAATAATTAATTAATGATTTAGAGTCAAATTCCTAGTGGTTATGAGTATTCAATGATAGAATACTCAAGTTTAGAAGAGCAAATGTTCAAAGCCAAATTTTATATACATAAATTTGGAGTTGAACATGTTATTCCTTGGATTATGGCAATGAGAAACGAAAACAAAGTTACATATTTAGCAACAAATGTATTAAAGCCCTCTTCTAATACAATTATTTTTAAGGTAAATGATAATTATTATTAAACAAATTATATAAAACCACTATAAATACATACAAAACAAAATATACAACTTTTACATAGAAACGTTATCGTTGTCATCACAACACCAGACCTAAAGCCAATTCAATTCCAAGTAGAAAACACTACAACTGTAAAGCTACTTTGGGAATTCAAATAATAGATGATGAAAAACACGTAGATAGTCCTACCTTGTATGTTAATTTATTTATCAAATTAATTAATATTTAATATTATATTATTAATTTTTTTTCCTAGGAATAATGAAAATGAACCCTCGATTGGCATCAAAACAAAGGCCATAGTTACATTAAACCATATTCACAACCATCAAATTTTAAGGGCTGAGGTTCTCAAACATAGAATACCATCAAATGAAGTGAAAGAAAAATTCCTAAAATTATTTGAGGAAGGTAAAACACCATCAAAATCATTATTCACATTTAAATCTGAACTTAGAAATAATAAAGGTAATGCTTACTATACATATGCTGGTGATCGAGCAGAACTTCCTGATCCACAGTGGGTGTATTACCTTTATTATAAAACATTTAAAAAACATTTTGGTTTTTCACATGGAGATCATATGATGACATCACTCAGGGACACAGTAAAAGACTACAACGATGAATGTATAAGCTATGAATACAGCTAAAATGAAGGAACTTAATGATGGAAATTTTGCTATAGCAATAACAACTCCATTAATGAAAAGGATTAGTTGTAGTTTAAGTGAATGTGGAGAAATGCTTTTTATAGATGCATCAGGAAATATAGACAGATTTGGTTGTAAAATTTTCATCATCTATACCAATAGTTGTGCAGGAGGTCTTCCAATAGGGGTAATAATTTTGACAAGTGAGTCTACGTCAGTCATTTCTGAGGGTCTGGAACTATGGAAGAAATTATTGTCGCCTAGTTTTAAGGGGCCTAAAGTTTTTATGACCGATGATTCAGCTGCTGAAAGAGGTGCACTATCTAATGTATTTCCCAAATCTAAACTTTTATTATGTATTTTTCATATATTACAAGCTACCTGGAGATACCTATGGGACTCACATCATGGTGTTCCTCTTTGCCATCGTCAAATTTTATATTCTTAAGTAAAAAAAATGATTTATTCAAAAAATAGTGACGAATTAGTAATTACATTTGAAAATGCACTTAAAAATGAATTTGTATTAAAATATCCAAAATTTGAATCTTATTTACAAAAATTATATGAAAGAAAAGAGCAGTGGGCATTGTGTTTTCGAAAAGGTCTTATAACTAGAGGTCAAAATACAAACAATATAAGTGAGGCTGGTATGAAGATTGTGAAAGATGTTATTCTTCAGAGAACTAAGGCTTATTCTCCGGTGCAATTGTTTTATTTTATTATAAATGACTTGGATGCCTTTTACGAAATGAAACTCTTGGATATAGCTGCTAATAGACCACCGCAATACCTAAAAAATAAATATAGTCTTACTAAAGCACAAAAGAAGTATTTACGGTACAAACCTGTGGATACAAATTCCATGCTTTTTGATGTTACAAATATACAACACAATACTGAATACCTAGTGGATTTAGATCTTGGTATTTGTACAAGTCCTCATGGCGATACAGGGTTTCCATGTAAACACCAATTATTCATAGATCAGAAATTAAATATAGATCTAAGTATTTGTTTACCTATAACAGAAGACATGAAAAAAAAATTACATACATTAGCATCTAAGAATTCAGATATCGAGAGTGGATGGTATGGTTCGGCAACAGACATGAATTATGTCGAATATAAAAAGAATATAGATTTGGATGAAAATTGCACACAAGCAGGTACAAGTAGAGAAATAAATCAGAAAATAGACTCTAAAATTAATGTTGAACAAATAGATGATTATGAGGAAGTAATGAATAGTTTCAATAAAACTATAGAAGATATGAAGAACAAATTTGAAACAGATAAGACATATTTCTTACCGGCTATACAATCATTTGTAAATTCCTACCAAAAAAATGTTAAAACACATGCTAGTCTTACCTCAGCAATGGAGACGTTTGGTAAGTACTCGGGGTTAAGTCATACTTCCAAAAAACCTAAATTAGTTAGCAACAAAGAAATTGGCACACAGCCAACCGCTCGATCAAGAAGAGTAACTCAAATTGGAGGAAGAAAAACATTAACTGCGGGCAGATGTCCTAAATGGAAAAACGTGCCCGAGCATGGGTATAGTAGTAATAAACTTTCTTCCAGACAATTACCTCGAAAACCATTTAATCCTTCACAATTGCCTACAAAAACAAAAAAAATGCCACATTCTTTAAATTTTTGTGTAGAAGCAAATAAATCCGTAGGATCTACACACAATGCTAAATGAATATTTTACTTTTACTTTTTGTTTATACTTAAGTATTTTTGACTGATTGAATTATTTATTTTGGAACTATAACTTTTTTATTGAATTTATTTTGACTATTTTGATTATAACACTTTTAATTTTTGACTAATAACTAATATGATTATAATTATTAATTTTATATTTTATACTTTTTACTTATATTTTATGTAATGTAGTCCATTGGATCTTACAACTCATGTATACTTTTTAAATAAATCTGTAGGAGCCATACATAGTGCTAAATGAATTTATTAATTATTAATATTGATTATTTTTATTTTTACTGATTGAATTTATTTTTTATTTATTTTAATGTAGTTAAGAGATATTTTGTATTTATTGTATACTTTCAGTCTATGTACGTAACTTAATCTATTATAGTTTACTAGAACAATGCCTAACAATAATCAAAGAAATCAAAGAAACAGCTCTCACTATCACTGTGTAGAGTCTAACTTTCATTTTCTGGAACAACATTATAGATTTTAAAAAACTATTATTATTTTATATACTACTTCTTTAACACAGAACACTTAAATAATACTTAAAAATAAATCTAAAAATTTGTAAAATCTAAAAAAGAAAACAATATATAATATAATAATAATATATCAGTCAAAAATGAAGTGTTCCAAATCATTATCAATCAACTGAACACGGTTTGCTAACTACAGTTGATAAGGTTTTAAATGATAATAATATATTGCGATAGTGGAGGGGGCTGGTTAAATGAGCCGACCATGACACGTTTTCAAATTACGCCGGCGGTTGCCCCTCGTCAATATATATTTTTTTTTTTTTTTAGACGTATGTACGTATTATGCCACACCGGGAATTTGCTGAT